GCTGTGGGCCCCAGATGACACCAGCATGTGTTGCACAGGCTGCACGCTGTGGGGGTGGGCCCCTAGGACCCCCTCACTGCACAGGCTGCTCCAGCAGCATGCAGACCCCCATCCTCAGCCATGCAGGCTACTTTTGCAGGACCTGAACTGCCAAGGAGGCGGCTAGATGTAGACTGCCTCTGAGCCGGGCTCTTCCTGCTTCCCGCCCAGCCTGGCTCCAGCAACTGCACGCCCCACAGCCCCAGCCCTGAAGCACCCCGAGCTCCGTGCGGAAACTTACCTCATGCCTCCGTCCACCACGCATGCGGGCAGGGCGCAGGCCACGCTGCAGCTCCCCCAGCCACGTGCCAGGGGCAAGGGGTGGAGCCAGACAAGAAGCTGCACACGCTGTCCCCAGCTCGTTTAATCAGGTGTGGCTGGGGCAGCCCCGCGCTGCGCAGCCCTTGGGACAGCGGTGGCAGGACCTGGCTCACTGATGAGTCTGGCCCCGTGGATGTAAGCGGCTCCCCTCCCCTTGCTGCCGGCTGGGGCCCATGGGCCGACCTTGCCCGCCTCGCCTCACTGCCATGGCAGCGGCTTCTCCGCAGCAGCAGCAGTGCTGCCACGGGCCAGATAAAATGGCTTGGTGGGCCACATCGCGGCCCGCGGGCTGTATGTTGGACAAGCCTGCTCTACAGCATAATACACAAGAATTTTAAGTCAGCTTACTTGGGTAAACCAAGATGCACAGAAAAATACATTGAACATTAAGGTCAAACAGAATAAAACTGGGTGACACCCACACTGGCTGCAGCGTTTTGAACCACAGTACAGGCTTCCACCACTTTACCTACTACTGCTGTCACTTACCATGTTCTTATCCTCCCTGGGGACCAGCACAAAAAAGGGATGGTCTACTTTACTAGCGGTTTTTACAAGTTTTTTTGTAGTCAATAGCAAAGGAAATAAAATTTGAAAACCTTGGTTTAGATGCAAATTCTGGAGACAACTGTGTCATCCCCTAGCCCAAAAGTTCTCAACCTTTTAAGACTCAAGGTACCCCTCACATTAGACTCAAGACGCCTCAGAAAACATCAGGTCTTAAATTTTTACTCCCCTATCCCCACCCCCTTTTATTTTTGACTACTAAAAAACTATGAAGCAATTCTTCTGCTGCAAAGAAATCAGAAAGGCCACAGGCACAGCAGGTCAGAATGTTTTTAACACTATGGATTTCTATCTGGAATCTCGGTTTTATCTTGTGAATCAGATCTGCATACGTAACCATGTTAGCACTGCATGGCACCCTGCAGCACCTTGAAAGGATCTCAAGGCATGCCAGGGTGCTGCAGCACCCTAATTGAGAATCACTACTCTAGCCTGTCCCTGTGTCAGTCCTCTCTCCTCGCTAGTAAGCTCCATGCCTTCTTGCCCAGTCAGTCCTAATATGCTTCATGATACCTCACAGCACTCCTCCTACCTCGTCTTGCAGCCTCTACATCTTAAAAGTACATGCTCTGTCAAACTTGGCTGCCAAACTAACAAGTCCGAACCTTTTTTAAACGCATGAAAATAAAACAAAAATAGGCAACACTACTAGTCCTGCTACACTGAATTGAAGCAAGAACAGAAGCTAGGACACCGGTTCATCATGAAGTTCACAGGAGGGACTCAGGATAAATGCTGCAAAAGTGCTTGTTTTAATGTTATCTATTTTTAGATGTATATACACCGGGATATTGACTGCTGTGATCAAGTTTATTAAAAGTGTTTCCATGTAAATGCTAAGATAGCAGAGATACTGTTTAAGGCATGGCCATATCCAAGCAGCCCTTTTTGTACCAAATGCTATACATATGCACTTGTGTTCTACAAGTTCTAAACCCATATCTGTCCCAGTTATTTCTTTTCCTCCAACATGTCTTCTACAGCAACATACACTGCAAGGACTATGGATATGATTGGTAGGGGAGGGGAAGGCTGGTGAAAAGGCTGCCATTTCAATAACACAGTGATCTCTGAGATGCAAGACAAACTGAAAATACGCTTTTAAGTATAGCAAGCTTTAAAAGGAACACTGTCTATATTGCTGAAGCCTCTTAAAGATTGTTCTCTGTGGCCACATGGGACAGGACTAGAGCAATGGTCTCAAATTGCAGCAGGGGAAATTTTGATTAGTAGTTAGGACAGGGGTAGGTAAAATGCAGCCTGAGGGCTGGATGCAGCTCACCAGGCCATTCTATCTGGCCCACAGGGCCCCTAAAAAATTTAGAAAATTAATTTTTATCTGCCCCTGGCTGCCTATCATGTGGTCCGCGATGGCTTGCCAAAACTCAGTAAGTGGCCCTCCGCCCAAAATAACTGCCTGCCCCTGAGTTAAGAAGAACTCTCACAAGAGTGTGGTCAAGCATTGGAAGAAGCTGCCCAGAGAAACTGGAATCTCCATCCTCGGAAGTTTTTGAAAGAGGTTAAGCTAAGGGTGTCAAGCTCACTGGACCCTACTGCCTGAATGCAGACCACAGGAGTTCTCATAGGCCAGACGACCCTATCTGTGGTGCCAGGCTGAGTAACATTAACCCCCTGGATGCTGGCCCCACTAACAGTGGCTCTGACAGCTGTGGGTTTTAATACTGCCACTGCTCACCCCGTCACCACAGACCCACACCCCCAATGGTAATCTTGCATAGTAATTCAGCAGCAGGGCAAGCAATGGTGGCATTAACCTCTGTGGCTGCCAGGGCAACTGTTGGCAAAGCCTTCACCCAAGGAGTTAACACTACTGCTGCTTACCCCTCTGTCATAGAACTGAACCCCCAACAGAGAGCTTATACCAGGGACTTCAGCACTGAAGCAAGTAGTGGCAGCATTATCCCTACCCTTCCAAATGCCAATTCTGCCAACTTAGTGGTTTTGAGAACCATGGGGGTTAATGCCATCACTCACCTCTCTGCTAAATTTTAGGCTACATGGACCAAGTCGAAAGGTGGGTCTTCCAGCCTCTAAGAAGTTTAGTGTGCTGGTCTTCCAGGCTGCCATGTCTGACACCCCTATGTTAGACAAACACCTGACTGGAATGTTTTAGGCAGGGAGGATCCTGACTTGAGCAGGTGGTTGAAGTAAGTGACCTCCTGAGGTACATTTCAGCCTTACTTTTTTATGATTCTATGAAACAGCTTGGTAGGTTTCAAGGTTAAAGTTCCAGTACGGATCACAGCAGAAAGGGACCAAGAGCCAGATTCTATTTAAACTTCCTGTTGCCCCCCAACTTAAATTTCCTGCTGGTGGCACCAGGGCATAGAAGTTAGCAACATACCTAATGCTCAATACTTGACAATTTTCCATTTAAGGAGGGTATAATTTAGGATTTATTGAAGAAACAAACTTTGACCTTCTATACTAAATAAGTGTCTTACTACAAGAAGAGAGAGAGAATAGAAATCAGAGGCAGCCTGTCAAGTTCTTTGCCTAGTCAAGCCTATTAACCATTATTCTGGGAACCAACTTATATCTTGCAAGTGATCTCCACTGGTCTTTTTACTCAGATGCACAAGTACAGAACACTGAAGTTTGCTTGTAATTGCAGATACAGCAAGATACTCCAGATGAGTCAGACTGTACCGCAATAGCTCTTCTTTTGGATTTGCATGGCCATATCATTTCCCTTTTATTTCTTAGTACTATGCACGCATGGGGCATGAGACACTTGGCACAATGGCTCTCCATGAAGTACAGCAGTTCATAGGTATGGAAGAGGGCATTTTCTTAAAAACTAACCAGTTTTCCACCAGACTTGAAACCAGTTGATTCTCACATCTGCTAGACTGGGCTGCGGCAAAACCCAATGCATTATTTTTATACAGCGGGAGTTTCAACCACATAGCCTGTGAAGCAGTGTCATCAGGCCCACAGGGCTCCTAGAGGGGCTGGGAATTCAGGAGTCGAGCCCACCACCAAAATCCAGAGTATAAAGCCCCACCAGGGATGCGTAAAGCCAGCAGTAAGGTAAGCAATGGCAACATAAACCCCCTGCCTCTCCCTGATGTGGCCTAGTCCATGGCTCCTGAGAAGCCCAGCAAGTTTGACACCCTTTTTGTACAAAGATCTTTGAAGCCAGAGATACAAAGTGTGCATGCTGTTCTAGTTTTTCTCTGGGACTGAAAGGTTACGCCTGCATCACACACAGATAAAACAACTGAATTATGGAATTTGTTCTTGCTGTTTGGAGGTCCTAGATTTAACCAATAATATATGACTGTAGAGAGCAGGAAAGTAAGCAAGACTTCCTTACCTATCTCACGTTTCCGTTCGTTGGTTGTGCAGTTATGGAAAAACTCTGTCATTAGACTCTCCAAAGCTCGCAGCGAGGCCTCTTCAGATGCCTGACAATGACATTTAAAAAGAAAAACAGTTAGGAACTGCATTTTTAGCTCTGGCTCATTCAGCAGCAAGTAAAACTGACTTCCACGTAAGACAAAGGGCACAGAGGTCAATACACTGCATACTGGATATGCACTCACACTACAACAGAAGAGCAGCATGAGTTTATACACTGCAGATGAAAGTCAGATACAGACATACAGAGCTTGCCCACAACAAGGAAAAAGCTTCAAATGTTATTTTAGAATCTGATTTGTTCAGCCTCCTTAAATAATGGGAGTAAACACTTTATAAAGCAAGTTTCATTCCCTTTCAGTTACAGACACTTGTACTCAATACAAATTAGTTCCTCCATTTGAAATAACTTGGTCTTGTGTGAGAATTAAGATTAACAAACCTCAGAAATTCAGAGGAAACAAGGCATAGCAGATTGAGCACAAGACTGGAAGCCCCAAATCCTGGCACCTATTCCTCCCTCTAATACACTGAGTGGCTATCTGTATTGTAAAGCAACCAGCAACACCATTTGGTTCAGGGTGGGAGGGTAGTTTGAAAGATTAATTTTTGTATGGAGCTATGACAGAGTGCTAAATAAATGCTTAGTAATTTAATTCTTTTGAAAATAGTTCAATTTTTTGCAAGCATAAATCAGCTGTCGCTTGGGATTTAGAAGCCCTTAAAAAGCAAGGATCTGCAAGAAGCAGCTGCAAGACAGTAACAGTTCTATATCTCCCCAAAGTATTTTTGCTGCTTGTGGCAAATCAGACTAATGCCTTCATTTTATTGTTTGGAGATGGAATGATTTTGTAGAGCTACAGCTAGGATGATACCCAATCAACTATTATGGCTGCATTGTCCTTGCCTTTCTCATCTAACGCCTGTAACGGATACCTTTAGTCTGTTTATTATTAATGGTTTTGTTATGGAAGAGATATGCCATTAGTCATTCCTCCAGTATTTTGAGCTAATGCATTGCTCTTTCAGGAATAAAGTGCAGTAAGATTTGAAGCCCAGACCTTCCTCTGCACTAAGAAGGCATTTGTACAGGAAGGCTGGAGTCTACAGCTCAGTCCTCTTGGACATAAAAAGAAAATTCTAAAATGAAGCACACTAGAACTAACAGGTAGCCTTTTTGGAAAATATGAGGCTCTTGCCCATAGAAGCAGCACGAGCTCCACTACTACTAATCCCAATAAACCTGGTATCCAGGTTTTCCAGAGCTCTGCTGCAGAGCCAACTGAGGAAGGATATTTTTATCCTCCTCCAATTAACTTGGACTTCAATTTTACACCAGAGGAAAACCAAGATCTTAACATCAGAGAGGGAGAAGATAAGTACAGCTCTGCTCTCCTAGTAACTAAGAGGATGCTTGACAGGATTGGGTGCATTTTCTGCTACTTAGCAGGAGAATGCACCATTTTCATCATGCTTTTCTTCTTTCTTTCAAAAAAAATAGAAATTCAGGAGAATGTCACCATGGAAGTTAAAAATGGGTTTTAAAAAAAGCCACAGTCAATAGAGTCCTAGATCATCTTTTGTCTTAAAGAACTGCCAGAAGTCTATTATAGTTTTTTTTAATCCATATAGAACTACTTCTTTGCAAACAAGTAGTCACATGCCTAATAAAGTTTGTCCTCAAGTTGTTCCTCCCAACTACTGCCTATTTCTTCCAATTTGTCACCCCTTCCTGGATGACGGCAGTATTATGCACGGTTATTTTTGAGGACTTTTTAAAAAATTCAATGCAAGTATCACTTCCAAACCTATAATACAGCCATTACGACATATCCACATACTCCTTTCTGTAGTGTGGCGTGCATACCATTTCAAATTCTTTCCTACAATATTAGCTACCCAATTAGACCTGAATGTACAAATCTAACATTTTAGTGTATACTCTCGCTGCTAAAGGGCAAACTTTAAATCATAACATTGGCTTCAGGTGCCAGTAAGGGAAGAATGAATTGCAAGTTGCCAAACTTCAGCAACATCAGTATGAAGCAGCCAGTTTAATCTGTAATAAACACATTTTCTTTCAACCCCATTCTTTATGCGACTAAGGAAGGCCTCACAAAAGTGATAATTCATTGACAAAAAATATTAGTTATTCATCCAGTAGCACTAGAACTTGCATTTTTTTTGACAAGGTATTTTTTGATCAAAGATTATAGCAATTTTACTAAAACTTTTTTGGAGTTTTCTTGGCATAAGTATGATTTTATATTGCTTTTGACACATTTCTTAATGAAAATTTGTGCTTTTCCTGTGCATTATTTGGACCTAATGCCTTTTTCTTTGTTTTCTTAAATACAATTTTTGACCAGTCATTTGAATGAACTTCATTTGATTAGTTAAATACCCAACCCTAATTCTACCCTTCTCAAAACTGCTTCCATGTTTTTCCTATCTAAAGAACTGTTAAAGTACAAAAGGGGGAGGGGAGAAGATAAAATGATAGAACTAATAAGTGATCCAATTTTTGAAGTGTTAGACCCTTGACAACTCCTCATACAACTTTCACAGGAGTCACTGTTTAAAATTTTTGAAAACCAGGTCACTTAATCTCTTCAGGAACCTGCTTTTTCTAATCCAACTCAACCAAGCACAAACAAAGATTCAATTCCTAAGTTGAAAAAAACCATAGAAAAAAAAGAAAATAGAAATTGCTATTATGTCCTGATCTCACAGCCAGTTATTAAATAGATATGGACCAAGAACATAGATAAAGCTTTTAAAACTTTTTTTAAACTTGGGAACTGCAACATCCTCATTTAGCTTCCCTTCCTGCAAATGCCAGAGACATGAAAACCCAATGGAAAAACCTTAAGAGATGCATTTGAAAGTACACACTGAAGTTGGCTAGGCTTCAACTAAGTTAGATTGGGAGCAATAGCAAAATACTACCCCTACAATAATATATTCCCCAAATTTCAAGATGTAGAGAACTCAATAGCTGCTACCAAATGAAGATGGCAGGGGAGAAATTACCCGAAATAACTAGAACCTAGAGCAGAGGTACTCAACCCACAGGCTAGATCTGACCTGCAGCACTGTGTCATCTGGCCTGTAGGGATCCCCACAGGTCCATTGAAGGAGTGATGGTACCATTTCCTTGCTGCCAAATTTCCAGACCCATGGGGAGTCCTGGGCACTGCACATTGGATTAAGCACCTGATCCCAGTGCATAGGGCTGGGTGAGGACAGCACTGGGCCCCTGGGTCCCATCTGGGTATGCAGGGGTAGTGCTGAGCCCCAGGGCCCCATCCCGATGTGGGGGGTTAGGAATAGCCAGTGCCACACCCCCAGAAGGGTAAATGCCAGGCTCCCAGGGTCCAATCCTGACGTGTGGGATGGTGTTCAGCCCAAGTCCAATCATGGTGAATAGGGCTTGATCTGGCCCACAGACTGGCCCTATACCATTCATCTGACCCACAGGGCCAAAAGCTTGAGCACTCCTGACCTACTCTAGTTCAGTCTTTAGAGACAGAAAAGAACCTCCTCCGTTTACTCCAAAAGGTAAATTGTCAGTCAGCAAACAATAAAAAGTTACTCTGTAGCCCATCAGCTTCACTCAAAAGATGCGCAGAAGCATTCTTCATGCTTCTTAGATTCTCCAAGTTAATTCCAGAGGGAGTGTATTAACAATAAGATTCCCACAGCTAGATCACTATGTCATAGAAACAGATGTGCATACATGATCAGCATTATGTAAAACGTTACTCCAGACTATTGAGGTCTTTGAGAAGAAATGAACATACCAAGACCACAAAATATTTCCAAAATACTCCCTGGACTGACAGTTATGCACACTTACTGATGTCAACCAGCATTATCTTCTAGTTATCTGATTAATAAGTAATATTTTTTCCCTTTTAGAGCCCTTCTCAGACATTGTGGTAAAGTGGAGATAGAGAAGGAGTACAGCTGGCGTCAGCAGAACAAGAAAGTATTAACATTAGTACATTTCTAAAGTGCCCATCACCATGGCACATTAATGACAGGCTTTTAGTGCCTCTCTGTCTCAGAAAGGACCTCACAAAGAGACAAGAAGAACAATAAGAGTAAACCCTGGGAAATGTCAAAGCTTAACCAACCACCCCTTGCTCTGTCCAGAGACGAGCAGCAGTCTCTTCCAGGAGCGGTTCTGCCCACCACTCTGATTCCTGACCTATACATGGTATAGAAAGCAGATGATTGTTCTGGTCATTTCACATGGAATCTGGAGCACTGCCCAAAGGAGACTGACTGCTTAAACTAGTGTTTTCTTGACCTTAACAATAGACGGCTAATTATGAGATGCCATCATCATTATGACATTCCTTGCAAATATTTAAGACTGGGCTCTGCTTGGCAAGACTATACATATACTGAACACGGGATGGAAGTGTGCCCTGTCCTGGGAGTGGTGTGAAAAATTTCTCATCAGTAAAAGTGTAAAGTACTCCCGTTATCTTCACTAACTCAAAAGGTACAAAAGCTCTACAAGAAGGACCTTGTAAGGAGGTGCTTATCCTAAGATCCAGCTGCAGGTAGTCAGCAGCTAACAGTCTGCCTGACTTGAAGGCTGACAGCAGCTGTAAACTGATGATGGAATTGAGGCCAAGCCACAAAGAGGCTTAAAAGCTGCAGGAGCAGAGTAGAAAGAGAGGAGGGGTGGTGTGGTACTTGGGGAGAAGCACTGAGCCCATGTGATTCCTCCCAGGGTCTGAGAAAAGACCACAGGTTTTGGGTTCTGTTTGTTCATGTGTTTGCTGTTCATATACTTGCTTGTTCTGTTACTTTTCTTTTATTGTGGGAACAAGGTTGCCATGTCAAAATAACCAGCCTGTAAGCCTGACCAAGGAGCTGACTTGCTTCAGTAAGGAAGCTGGACAAGTGACCACTTACAGACTTCAAATTGAAAGGCTGGTGAGAACTTTCAGGAAAGACTCTTTGCTCTGTCCTACCAACACAACTCCAAAAAAGGGGTCAAAATTCAAACCAATTGTGTTTCCCATGCAAA